CGCACTGATCCCAATTAATTCGATTGATTTCATACAACTTCTGGGTGCTTTCCTGTGTGTTAATAGGTATACATTTAGGCGTGTATTGTTGGGTAACAACCTGAACCCCTTCATTTTATCTGGCATGGTGAGGATCAATTAGAAATTTAGCTGGACATCTGTTGCTCCAAGGAAGGGATGGTAATCTATCATGCACCCATTTGGTAGCTTGTTTGCCGTGACCTTAGTGATGTGGCCTAATTGCCATCTGGGTCTCATGGGTCAGCAAGATTAGAGAAGGGCTGGTGACATCAGGGCTTCTCGTAGAAATCTAAACGCCTCCAGATTTTCATTCTAGCAGAGTGTGGCTATCTGAGGTGGTCTCAACATAAGTTTTGTTTTGAAAATCATGTAACGAAAGTAGCTGTAAATAAAAATTTCCTTTCTGTATCAGTTTAAATGGTTGTTTTTTTCAAATTACTGTGGCTTTCACCTTTGGTTTCTGCGTGATAGAGAAATGCAGGCTTTTGTATCGATAAGTCGATGATCAAACAACCTGCTAATGAGGATTATACAATCCGGTCGTGGTTCCATACAGTTACCTATGAAATTCAGAATCATTCAGATTACAAGGTGATCGATTTGACACCATAAATGAAATAATGAAACACGCATAAACACCTGGTGGTATGCTTGGATTGATGAATGTGCTTGATAGTAAGACGGAAGGGATGTAAACATCGCGTGGATGTTTCGACTGTTCAAGACCGAACATATTTGCAGTGTGCCCAGTTTGAATCCGGCGATACGGCTTATGTTGTCGGGTCTAAGGAATATCGCTGTCATTCAACTAGCAATTACTGTCTCTCGACATAGCTGTTTCTGTACTAATAACATCAGTGAATAATATATACGACAGTATCTGTTATATTTGGAGTACCGTCTCGTATCTCCTTAGTGGAGTACAGTGAATAATGATTGTAGTGATTTGCTTTATTTCCAAACAGTGCTCATGAAAAAGTACGGAATTGAGAGCATTCTATAAAATATCGCATCTAATTCAATGATCAACAGCAACAACAGAAAATACACATTACAGGGTACACGTAAACAAAGTTGGTAACAGCAACTTTTGGTAATATCAGTACGATAAGAATCGCAATATATAAAGTTTTATCAAAAAATATTTGGACAATAGGGTCAGCATCGTAGTAAAATTGTAAATATTGAAGAATAACTGGGATGCTCTTGTGTCAATTACACAGCAAGTCGCACGGCTATTGGGCAAGCATATAACCTTTTACGCTGACTTCTAGTTCTACCTGATGAGATGCGAGGGAAGAGTTGTGAATAGAAAGGTTGTTGAGAGTCATACAGTATGGATTCAGACCGTTTATCAAATCAGTTTAGGTGTCTGCTGACTATGACAGTAACGAGCTGCCTTAATATCACACAACTAACTTTGCCATCAAATGTAAATGCCGTCCTCTATGTGACACAACCATTCTTGAGTAGACCACCAAAGATGGGCAGTAAAGAATAATAGGTAAAATGCAAGAGTTAGAAAATTGTAAAAGTAAACGTTGAGAGATACCGGATTGCCTTAACATCTTTATCTTTAAGGTCGAATGGCACTTCGTCAGAAATTGACAGGATATAGGGAAAACAAGAAGAGTCAGCAATTATAATTATTCCAGGATGTTTCATGTTTCACCTTGTTTCTTTTACAGTACCCCCCATATACAGGTGTTTTGTGAGCGGACCAAGTCGTGAAAATCACGTTTATATCTGCAGGTGAAGTTAACTGTCTGACATTTAGAGAGATTTCATGTAAGACCTTTTAGCTTAGGCCAACGACTTACGTATGACAAAAAGCTATTCAGTTTGCGGCAGTCAGATAAGTAAGTAACTGGAAAAGAATCAGTCAAACCATTGGCACACATGAGGAGATTGATTTCAATCAAAAGGGGTGAGCCATGGAGAAAGAAAAAAGAAGAGGAGAGAGAAAGACACCTTGAAGGACACCGGTTTCAGAATGCAAGGAAGAGGGAGATCTAATTTACAAACAGTATACTGCTTTTCTGGATAAATGAGAGAACAATTAATTAACAGGCCAGGACTCAGTTGTTATCTGGGAATTTAGTAAGAAGCGGGTGTACAGTCGAGGAAGCAACATTGATCGTACTTAGTCCCTTTCTATAAGTAAGAAACAAGGTTGTGATGTAAGTCAGCAGCAAAATCTAGGGTGTATCTCCTCTGCTTGTATGAGAACTGTTTAGGTTCATTGACACTTTTCAAGGAGATTCATGCTTGAGTAAAATTAATTTTTGCTCCAATCTGGAAACGGTTAAGTGAGGGTAACAGATCTGCATTTACTAATCGCATCAGTGCATGATTTTGCTACAGGGATAATTTAAGTGCTGTTTCGGGCTGTCAATGCAGTTGAAGATTGAACGATCAATTCATGGTTGTTTGCTCAAAACCAACTTCCCCAATTTTCGCGGAGGCATCAATACGACAGTCATCGTCTCATCGGTCGCCGTTCAGAAAGAAGTCAGGAGACAACTGTCAGAAACCTTAGTTGTAACATTGTTTATATGTTGGTGTTACAATAAAGAATCCTCGAGTCGCCAATTGGTGTTTTGGTTTTGCGTCCGTTATTACTAAGCGTTTCTGAGAAACTTCAAGCAACAGTATGAGCGCGAGTGCAGCAAGAGCTGGGCATTAACGGTTTACGAGACGTGGCTGACACTGGCGTCGAGAACAACATTACTAGCAGAAGAAGAAGAAGTATTGAATGTGTTAATAGGGGATAACCTAAAATATCCACAGAAATTCTGACGATAAGAAAAGTCACACCGTCAGGAGGGTAAAATTGATTTCATTCATTTGAGTATAACAAGAGTATTAGGACCATGAGAGTTACTCAACTTATAAGTTGTAACTTTATGAATGACAGCATTAGCAGGAGAGCGCATCAAAGGCTAATTAAGTGAATTTTCATCATACGAGAGAACGACGGCGTTTTACCTACCAGCAGCAGTTTCACCAAAAAGTTTGAACATGACCGAGGGTGCTTCGCATGTTAAATGATTTGGTTATAAATAGTGCTTAGACTGTGGGCTACAGATTTGATTAAAGTGAGATCCTTTTGAGACCAGATTTGAATTTAGAATTTCATAAATGTTCGTTCATTCTTCATAGTTTTTTGAGATAAGAAGCTGAGTACCGGCCAAAGCTTTTGAACTCTGTTTTGGGCAACAGATATAGAGTAAGAATTTTATATGGTCAGTTGTATTGGTGGTAGTGTCTTCAGTTGTATGTTCAGTAAACAGACCCCTTTTGGTGTCTTTCAACAAACATTTGAGATTATGTATTTTATTCTTCGAGTAGAATATCCGCTGTATTTTCTTGGAAAGATGTGAGAAGACTTGCTCTTATTTATGCTGCCTGGCATAATACAGTGACGAAAGTCGAGAATAGGAGCTCGTTGGAGTACTGTGTGTATTGCGGTGTTGCCGGCGGACACTAAATCGGCTATTTTCTCTAGTCAAGTAGAGAAACTAACAATGTTTACATGTCTAAGTGATTCAAGGACGGATAAGCCTCAATAATTGAAGTCATTGTTGACTAACGATATAGTCCTCCAGACATGCATTGGCAAAAGTTGTAAATATATCTGCTAAATTAAGTACATCTGATGGGGAACAGCCAGAGGTGACATCCGTATTTGAAACAAGCTTTTTGGAATTTGACAACTGTTTAGGGATACATCTGATAGTAACACAGTCAACAGAGTCACTTGAGGATTTGAAAAAGACATTTTCTGAAACTGACTAATGAGGATGAATAAAAGTAGCTATACCAACGCCACATTTCTTCTTGGAACAGAAGCGACGTCATCTAATTTGTGTGAAAACATTAAGTGAGACAAGTTTATCATCACAAAGCTCATTAAGCCAGTTTTCTCGTAAAGTAATTTTAGCCGAATGTCTTTGGAGTCCCAGTGCCGGAAGAACAGGAAGCATACGCTGAAAATTTGAGGCATCTCATCCGTTTAGTATTCAGACAGTGTCTCATAAGATAAATTCCGATTCTGAGCAAGATACCGCCTCTAAATTCAGTATACAGTAAGAAACTATGTTTTTGTCATTTTTAAAGGGAAACCAGACGAACTACATCAGAACGGCTCTATGACGAATTTAACGGAGTGCGTGTTCTGTTTCAGAGCATACGCGGTGTTGTCCGGCATTGTTACCTCCGTATGATTTATTCGCACTTGCTTATTTGTACATCCATCTACGTCACCTGCAGATGTTGGACAATCGATATTAGCCTGCATGTGGCCAATTTGCTACTCCATACCCATAGGATTTTTCACAAAATGAAGTCTAGAATAGCTTTCTTCTTTCTCGGAAATTCTTTAGTTAATCAGTGCATACAGAAAGGCTGCCCTCGAGTGGAACCCTCAAAGGAAGCGTCGAGTTGGTCGTCCAAGGGTGACTTGGAGGAGGTCATGTGAAGAGGAGATGAAAGCATGTGGGCAGATTTGGAGCGAGGTGAAAAGAGATGCGCAGCTGAAGCCCTATGTTCCTCTAGGGATTGAAGGATATAATGATAATAGTACAGAAAGGCCATGCACATACTCCACATAAGAACCGTGACTCATTTGGGCTACACTTCAGCCAACTGGAAAATTTCTGTTGGTCCAGAGGAGCGAAAATTAGAAACTAAGGACTCAGGTTCGAGGAAAAGAAACCCAGAATTGGTGGATATCTTTTGTTCTCACTAGTGCTATTGGCAGTCATTGACATGGCACTATCAACAAGGCATACAAAATACATCTTAAATGAGTGATTGAAATGAGTCTATCAATTTATCCCATCTTTTGAAATTTCAAGCACAGCTAAGAGGTTAACAGCTGGAGCTCATTAGTTGACACTTATTTTCACGGATATTCTTTTGATATTGAATTTGTTGATCACACTTTTGTTAAGTTCATCCAGTTTTGGAGGTTATTTGTCAGAAGAAATTACCGCTTTCGGCGGCTAGTAGGAATGCTCGTAAGCACGTTCTAGTTTTGTGAAGTTTTGGTTTGTGTTTTATTCAGTCATTCACCCAATTTTTACTAAATAGTGTGTCTTTTGCAATCATTTAAGACAAAATTGTATCACAGAGGTATTGAAATGGTCTTAATACTTTTAATTTAACCGAAAACACAGTAGCATTAAAGTTTTTATTGTAAGCCACACATGAATTAACAGGATTTGTGTGAAGGCTAGTCAGCTTCAAGTCGATAAATAGTGGCCCTTGGTTGAACCATAAACTACAGAGATTTTTACCAAAATGGGAAAAGTTAAAGCAAACCCGATGAATCGTCACATGCTATTTGTGCGTACGTATAGCAATGTTTCTTCGATGTCATTGTTTTTAGTGGTCTGTTGCATGAAGATAGTTCTTATGCTCTTTGAGTATGGTCCATAGAGCCTGAAAAAATGTGTCCGTAGCGATAGAATGTATGTAGTTTAGCCAAGCGTATATCAACACAAAACCATTGCATTTCGGCTTTTGGTTCTCTAAGGCTTATAAAACAGCCTAATTTTGACATTGTCAGGCGTTATTATAAATAAAAGCGTCTCTTAGTCACGCAAATACGAACTGAATATCATTTTGCGATATTCTGAATATAAACATGCAGAGTATTCATCATAGGCGACTATTTAGGCTCTAAATGGATCGAAGTGAAATCAAAGCTGTTCCTAAAAATTACAGTTTCATTGCCTACTTGCAGAACGAATGGATTTGATGAGTGCCTTAACAATTTGTGTCTCTCCCGATTACCGCTTTTTTGAAACAAGTATTAAAACTACTGTTTGGTAAACCATTATATGCCTAAGGCATGTGGAAGCTTATTACGCAGTAATATAAATAGTATATTTTACCCCTTTTTGTATCAATATGAAATATGGTGTTGAGAATGCTGAACTACACTATTGCAACTAAAAGTGGGGATCAGTTGTATTTCTTTTAAATCATTTACTGTTTTGTTTTCCCGCTTAAAAGATAGAAAACCATTAGTGAAATACAAAGTGAAATACTAAAAAAGCTACTAAAGTATATTTTGTGTGTTTGTATGTGCTACTTAGCTATTTGTACCTACTTGTGGCTAGAAATAAGCCACTTATTGTTTGAGGTCTACTTTTACTAGATGTGCGAATATCGGAATGTTAAACAGAGTTCGATTCAATGAGCAGTACATCCACAAGTTACTTATAATTGGTATGGTCCTAATAATCTAAAGTATCCTAATCCCTAAGATCATGTCACATGTAATTATTTGAAGAGTAACTGAGACTGGAGTTTAAGTAATGTACAACAATTGAAAGCAACCAAACTTATCGTAAATGGGGCAAAGACTGAACTCTTGAGGTCGGCGCATTTCAGTGTGGGAGGAAAAAGTATTGAAAAGACGTAAAATCATACTGAAGCTGAAAATGTGGATACACAAGATAGTGTATGAAAGCATTCGTGATAGTAAGTGTTTCAATATTCTATGGCTTAATGGCCTTTTTTGACTCTACCACTTACCAAGCCAGATGTCTCAGAAGTGTTTCACTTGAGTAAATGCGTTGTTATCAAAATTTTGTGATGTATCCACGCCCCGTAAGTGTTTACAACACTACAACTCTAGAGCACTTGCTGACATATTCTGACTTAACTGTAGTTTAATGCGTATTTACGAGCTACTTTCTTATCGCTTTGTCTTGTACACTGAATAGCGCCATTAGTAATACTTATAGTTTCCCTATGTTTGAAAATTGAAATCTCATTCAATCATCACCAGTTCTGATGTTTTAGTCTTCAGTAGTGCATAACGAATGTGTTAACCTACAGATTTTGCATTCACCAAACTCTGTTCATACTCACCCAGTTATTATGTCTATCGACTTACATGAAATATTGTGACGTCTTATTAAGTTTAATGAGTGCCCGGTGTAATCTGCTGGGTGCACTGTATAGCAGTTCCACTCATGTAGGTACATTAACTATATTTTCAATCCTTATCCGGGAATAAAACGTGAAACTTGTAGGCAGTATTAGAAAAACTAATAACCTTTCTTTTAATGATTTCGTTACGTTCAAGTAAAGCTTTATTTGACTTCTGAGTTGTTAATAATTCTTCATTTGACAATTATATACCCCACGTAACAAATCGTACCATCACCACTGGAGCATCTTTTGACTTTAATAAATTTTGAAATCAAAACTTAATGGGACACCTAGTGTAACAAAGAATAAATAACATTTCTGTGTTTTGTTCACATGACCGCTAGGCAGAAAACTTTATAAGTAAAATACCTAAGTTTGTGCATATCATCTGATCTCATGACGGTATGTATTTAAAATGGTATGCAAATGAGTTAGTCGTACCTAATAACATTTGTGAGAAAAATTATATAATTCAGTAAATTTCGTATGTATTTGTTGGTAACCTTTATAAAAGTCGTAAAGTTGGTCATACTTCATTTCCGTTGTTTCAGTCTAAGTTTTCTCATGTAAATCGTTCGACGGTTTAGAAACAAAAGTAAACCGAACTAATTTGTGGTTGTGTAAATTCCAGTACTTTAAAAAAATATGGACTACGTAACAAACTCGGTGTGAATGGTCTCCCTGCCCACCTTTCATCCTCTTAACGATAGGGTTGATGAAGTCTGCTCGTTCTCTTGACATACTAACCTCGTAACAGTCTATGTTGTCCTATTGTGTATTCATACATGAAGCAAGGAACGGAGACTAGATAACTGAAGGTTGCAGAATACTATGAAACAAAGAAAAAAATGTTACAGTCAGTATGAAGACTGTTTCATAAACGCAGCTCCCCAGTTATATTCATTTTGCTCCATTTTCCACCATAATTTCTACTTACATGTTGTATAACTGTGTTGTGAAACATGTTTTTAACTGCCAGTTAATAATGAATTCGCCGTGAAAATCATATCTCATCTTTATTTCTTTGGTTAGACGTCGTAAAATAATACATTTCAAAGTTTTATTCATATAATTCTGAACTTATCATACTTATCTGTATTACCCATATATTGCAGTCACCGTCTATTGGGTTCGGTCTTACCGCATAATCACTGGCTTCAAGAGTTAGTCACTCAAGGGAAAGAATCCTAACAGTTAGGTATCTTTTCAAATCTCCATAGCCACTGTAAGTTGAATGAATAAAACATCAACTGTGGGTGATAGAGGTAGCTAGGGAAAAGTGGTGAGGGAATAGACTGTATGCATTAACAGGACTATAAATGTTTTGATAAAGTAGGGTTGAAATAACATCACTGTGAACGATTTTCGCCGTTATTTTTATAGGGTTCTGTTGCGTGCAGAATAATATGCTATGTTAATAACCATGCTAATGACGTAATGGTTGACACTATTGTCCAGCTGTCCATATTGAGGTTGACTAAAAAAAAATTAATTTGTGACTTGTGTCTTAAATACCGTTTATTTTTGCTCAGTATGGAAGAAGCAAGGCAAGATTTAATAATGACCATGTCAGTCATTTAAGAAGAAATAATAACATGAATAAAGCAAAACAGATATTGCTTGTTAGGGTTAGCTCTACTATTTTTATAGGAAACTGGGGAAAACTAAATTCGATTCAGAGCTACATCCCTTAAATTCTTCTGATACTTGTGTAGTGTATATGGCCTTTTTGAAAAAGTTCTAAGATAACAGTCACGCGTTTACATGTCAGTATCTTAAACTGAATGGTTTTATATTACATTAAACTCTGTTGTCAATTCAGCGTTTCTTGAGTGGAAACACAACTCCCTAGTTTAAGCACTCGGCTTCCTGCCACTGGGCCCCGCTCCACCTACTTCAACCTGGTTAGTTTGGGTGATACTGTTAGACGTAACACAATAAGCGTGGCTCATAGCCTTGTGTAAAAATGGCATGTCCAAAGTAACTAAGTATTTCTTGTGCTCTATTACGACGAGGTAGGAACAGTGCTGTACCTATATCAGTACTCAGATACAGAAAGCTGTTGTAAGTGCTATTTTTGAAGTAGTCTTATAAATATATGATTGATAAATGAATGTTGTTGGCGTCCAAAACACTTCACGCTTTAACACTAGCTATACTAAAGCTTTTCTTTTGTCTCAGTCAGGATCTGTCTTCCAGAAAAGTGACTAGTTTCCATTATTTAATACTGAGAAAACAAAAACAGGCTTCTGTAGGTTTCCACTGAAGCCTTTCTTTCTTTAACATTGTAACATACCGTACTCATGAGTACTGGTCACCCAATGCGGTTTGTATGATCTATTATTGCACAAAATATCGCATATATATCACATTTATTAGGACGAATAATGTATCTGATTAGAATTGATGAACACATAATTTTGTATACTTGTTCGTTCTTTAGCTAATCTCCAAGTATTTCTTAATCTATTATTATTATTATTACTATCATATTATCCATTTTCCTCGTGCTGCTCTGCATCAAATAGTACACTTGGAAGTTGACCACAGTATTCAGCCCAATAACAGCTTGTGTAATTGACACTCATTGTTGCTCAAGGGCCTAGGCGTTTGTTTGAGGAAGTATGAAGACCAGTTAGCTTTACTAAAATATTTGCAATATTGTTACAGATTCCTAGTGTTACTACCACGGTAAAAAAGCCTTATTAGCAGACGTCAGCCAGACTGACCTGGTATGAGTGGCAAATTTTTAAGTTTCTTGGCTAAAGTCTTGAGAACGCTTAGAGTCAATGGTCGGGCACTTTGAGTGTTGCAAATCATAATAGTATATATCCATTTAATGCTTTTGTCTCCTTGAAGACTTTAAATGTTAAACACTTATTATTACTAAAACAATTATTCCCTTTGATAAATTTGAATAAGGCATTTAGATGATGAGTTTCGTGAGATGATATCATTTTGTAGTTTCTTTATAATCTCTTTACAACTAACACGGTTCACCTATCGATTGACCTAATTCATGCCGCAAGTCATTTGACGTTCATTCGTTTAAGCGGATGCTTAATTCAAATCC